AAGACAAAAGTCCTCACAACTGGACCTATAAGCAGCATCATGATAAAAGGAGAAAAGATTGAAGATGTCAAATAATTTTTATGTCATGAATTCACCCATTTGAAGTATACCGTGCCTTTTAATAAGCTTACTGGTAAACTGGCTGAATTGTAGGACCATCATTATAATCCAGTCTTAGAACATTTTGTTCACCCAATATGACCTTTTCCTCACTGTCACATTAATCCCATCCTGCCCACCTGACCCCCCACAAGCACTACTCTGTGCACATCCCTCTAGACTTGACTTTCATGGATGTTTCTGTAAGTGGGAGGATGCAACATGTGCTCTTGTGGGTCTGCCTGCTCTCGTTCAGCGTCGTGTTTGTGGCGTGTATTCACACTGTAACACGAATCAGACTTCATGTCTCGTGATCTCTGAACAACAGTCCATTGTGTAGATAGACCATATCTCATTCATCCACTTGTCAGCTCGTGAGACTTTCTGTATCTCTGTGGTGTGTCACTGAGATGCGTCACAAGGTTAGAGAGGGGAAGTAGAACAGCAATGCCATGGCCTGAAAGGACAGTGTGAAAATGTCATGGAGGGCCATCTGAGCGCCTCTCAGTCCACAAGGCGGGAGGGAATCGAGATCAGCGGCCGGGCCTCCCACAGCACTCTCTCCTTCTCTGCTGGGTGCGACCATTTCTCACAGTGGCCACACAGAACTCACAGACCGTACATACAGCTATGGGGCTTATCAGTGAAATAACAGGTTAGGGTTCAGGAGTGCTCAGGAGGCAGTTCTCCACAAGACAGCCTCTTCTCAGCTGGACCCACAGGCAGGCCTTTCTCTGGTGCTTGGCCCTCTGAGGGGCCTTTTGGCCAGGTCCTGCCTCTGTCTTGCTCTGCCAACATTACAAAGCTCTTTTAGCACCTGGAAGCACCCCACTCTGCCAGCAAGCCTCGGCTCGAAGCACTCATTTCTATCTGCTAGCTCTCAGCAAACCTGACTCCACCAAGCATCCAAGACACCCTCCTCCACCAGCGAGCCTCCTGCCAGGCTGTGCTTATTTCCTCACTCCGTGGGCCGGGACGCCCGCAGCACCATCTTTGCTGGCCTCCTGGTTCTTCTGCTGCCGTTTCTCTGCCTCTGCTTCTCACCATGCCTCACTGTCTCTCTGTCACTGCTCTCTCTCTGTCTCCCAGGTCGAGGAGATTGTCAGCACAGGGGTTCTGGGTCCAAAGGAAATCCTCTGCTCCCATTTCTTCTTCTTGGTGGAGGTCCCCCTTCTGCCCCCAGGAGGGCTCATTTTAAGCCAGGCGAGATGGCGAAACTGCCCAATCCCTTTGTAAGGGTTCCATACACTTTGTTGTGTGGTCTCACCTTGACAAGGGTGCAATGCACCTTATTTACATGATTAGCAAGCTATCCAATCCCCTTGGTGGGCCACAAGCACCTCATTTGCATAGTCCTGCCCAGTCATTTACTGGGAGTTACAAAGACGATGGCTAGGGATGCTGAATTAAGCAATTCACTGCACTGCTGGCAGCACGCTACGGAAACCCAGTGTACCAGGGTCAGCAAACTCAGTTCTAACAATGGCTCCAGGGTCAGCAAACTCGGTTCTAACAATGGCTAAGACATTCTGCTCCAGGGAAACTGGTGGGTTAATCAGGTGCAGGTTGGGACCAGCTTGTTGTTTTATTTTAGATTGGATGAAAACATTTTTAACATGTAATACTCATTTCTTTTCTTTCTCTTCCTTGCTGACAGGGCGTTAATCTCTATGGGGCACACACATTCTTCTTGTGCCTCGAAGACAGCAGTGGCTCCTCGTTCGGGGTTTTTCTGCTGAACAGCAATGCTATGGGTAGGAAGCATCATTTGCTCTTGGCAGGATTTGGGATGTTTCTTTTATATGAATGATCATGGTGAGATCACCATTTAACAGAAGGGATATTGGACCTACAACACCTCCACAGAAACTGGAACCTCTGAGCAGGTTCACCTGTCCACAGACCAGTTTGTGCTTCTCAGAGCAGTTTTCTATTGAAAACTGCCCTGGGATTCTGCCTCAACCAATGTTTTCCACAATATTCTGTAAACAGGACCATCATTGATTGACATGTTCCCATGCTACTCGTACATTTCAATGCATGAACCATATTCTGTAGGCGATGTGGCTGTGCTTTGTGGGCCACTTATCGTGGCCCTTCTTTCCCCACTCCACTTTCTCCTCCAGTTTCTGAGTTAATGGCCTCTAAGGAGCATGGAGGGTGCAAGTGGCTTGTGATTGGTCGCTAACCCAAAGGCTGGGGGTTTGAGTCTATCCAGCAGAGTCACTGAAGAAAGGCCTGGCAATTGGCTCCTGTAAGACGGCAGCCAAGAAACCCTGTGGGGTGGTTCTGTTCTGTAATACACGGGGCTGTCCAGTCGCGATCAATTCAATGGCAACCTCTTTTTTTGAGGGATGAGGGTGTTGTTAACAGACTTTTGAGAATCTTTCCTTAGGTGAGCCCACTAGCGAGTCCCAGGGCTTTGTATTTTTACATAAAAAAATAGAAAACATTGTTCTTTCTCTTCAAAATAAAACCACCCTACATCCTCCATTAGTGTTTTAATCATTCAGTATTTTGCTAAACCTCATTGACCCCCTAATAACAGAAACGTGGGTAATTTCTGTCCCTTTGGAAATGAGGCTTAGATTGTGTTTCTTACATCTGGGCTCTTCACATCTGTGGCAGAGGAGGGTGTATTTTCCACCCTGAGGTCTCAGTAACCCTCCTGTAAATCTTTCCAGAGGTCACCCTTCAGCCTGCTCCGGCGATCACCTACCGCACAATTGGGGGCATTCTTGACTTTTACGTGTTCCTGGGAAGCACTCCAGAACAGGTGGTCCAGGAATACCTGGAGGTAAGGATTCACCTGCACACTACTCACTGTGCCCCGCTGTCCCCTCATTCCCTCGTTCCGAATCGACAAGAGGACAGGAGAGTCATGCACCGTTAACTGTCCGGGTGATCAGTCCTGGGGCTGGGAGTCTCCGTTTATGCATGTTGACTTGGGTGGACAGACATGTACTGAGTTCCTTCTGTATGGAAGAGAGGCACTGTGCCAGGTTCCAGCAACATTCATTCATTCATTCGGTCCATAAAAATTCAGTGTAGAGGAAGTATGTAATGGGGCTGGGTTCATTACTGAAGACTGCTTTTCTATTTATTTTTTATTCAAACTATTAACAGGAAGAAATTTTAGACACCTGGCAGTCTAAACTTTATACTTTACAGAGAAGAAAATTCAAGTATAGAAAGATGACATGAGTTTTTCAAGATGACACCTAAAGGCCTAGGAAACATAGTCCCAGATGCCAGAGTGTTTACAATCAAATAGGGAAAAGAAGCAGCCAGTTGTCTCTGAGTGACCACTCCATGGTGACGTCATGTGTGTCAGAGGAGAGCTGCCCTCCACAGGGGTTTCAGTGGCTGGGTTTTCAGAAGGAGGTTGCCAGGCACTTCTGGGTGGACTTTAACTTCCAGTCCTTGGGGTAGCAGCTGATGTTAACCCTTTTGTCACCCAGTGAGTCCAGGGGAAGGAAGACACAGTCTGAAATAAGGACAGTAGGATATATGCCGCGTCTAATAGGAAGCACTTCCCAAGAAATGTGTTAGTAAGGTACCAATAACCGGTGGGGGAGTGGGAGGCCTGAGGGAAGGTGCCTCCTTCAGGGACTCAGAGGACAGGTATTGTTCAGGAACAATGATAGGGCACCATCTGGGACCTTCTTAAGGAGGTTGGAACACTTGGATTGTAAGCACAGTCCACTATTCCGTCACCATCCCACCCCTACCTCCACCAGCCCTTATATATTCTATCTCAGCACGCACCACTGTCTGAAATTTACCGGACACTCATTTACTTCCTTATGGTTTGGGGTGCTCCCCACTAGAATTCAGGCTCCCTTGGGCATAAACTATGTTTGCTTTGCCTACAGCTACATCCCAAGTGTGCTGTCTACAACATACTCACTGCTGTTGAGTCGGATCCGACTCCTAGCGGGTTTCCAAGGCAGTATCTCTATGGAAGTAGGTTGCCCAACCTTCCTTCCGAGTCCACAACATAAGCCCTCAGAAAGTATTTGCTGAAGGAATGAGTCGCTGCTTCCCCTGGACAACACTACAATCCACGTGTTTTCCTCAGTCCCCCATCATTTTCTGATGCTGAGGCTGTTGGGCAAGCCTGTAGGTAGTTAGTAAGGAGAGCTGTGGGGTTTCACAAACTGTCCTAGGAGATTACTCTTGACTTTGACATTCTGAGGCCGGGGACCCCCACTAACTGAGATGGGACCAGTGTGTCTGGTGTTGGACATGCCGCTGGTTCTATTCACGGAGCAGTGCTGATTCTAACTCCAGATGCTTCTCTGCTGGTCGTTTTCAGCTGGTTGGAAGGCCATTCCTGCCTTCCTACTGGAGTCTCGGGTTCCAGCTCAGTCGCAGGGGTTATGGTGGCATCAACGGACTGAAAACGGTTGTGGATCGAAACCGTGCAGCTGGGATCCCGTATGTAAGTCAAGACTTCTCCTGTTCTGCATTAGGCACTGCTTTTGGTCTTTTAAATTTTGTCTCAAATTTAATTTATTAGGAAAAATATTTTTATCCATAGAGCAATTGATCAGTGGTTAAACAAACACACTGTCAGAAATGTGTCTGCTGAGTGACCCGATGCATCATGGGGGCAGCACAGCCCATGGAGTCAGGTGCACATGGCTTTGGACTTTAGCTTTGCCTCTTCTTAGTTGTACGTGACGTTCAGTTAGTTCCCTAACATTTCTGAGTCTTCATTTCCTCCTTCATACAGTGAGATTATAAGACTTCCTATGGGGGCTGATAGTGAGAGAAGTTTATGCCATTCAAGTAAAGCACCTGGCACACAGGGGGAACTCTGTCATATCACCTATGGTTTTACAAGAGGAAGCCAGATGGAGCTGACCCTGTTAACAAGGGCTGACGAGTAGCAGGCTCGAATTTTGAAAGCTCTGTGGTTGCACACGGAGTCCTAGGTGCACAGTGGTTAATGGGCTTGGCTGCTAACCAAAAGTTTGGAGATTTGAACCCACCAAACACCACGATGGAGAAGGATGAGGCAGTTGGCTTCCATCAAGATGACAGCCTAGGAAACCCTGTGGGCAGTTCCACTCTGTCCTCTAGGGGTTCTGTGAGTTGGAATCCACTCCAAGGCAGTGAGTGTGGTTGGGGCTTTGCTTCTGTGAAGATTGACAGCCTTGAAGACCCTGTGGGGCAGTTCTACTCTGTCCTCTAGGGGCGCTGTGGGTCGAGATCAACTCCACACCCGTGCATGTGGTTTTTGTTTGGTTGGCCAGTGTTTATGGTCTGCAATGCGGAGCAGTAAAGCAGCAGATAATCACTAATTTTGTCATAATTGGTAAGAACTCCGGGAAACGGCTATCACATGGCTCATGAGGTTGTCACAGCCATTCGTTTGGCAGCTCTGGGGACCTCTGGTGCAAGCATACCTTCGTGTGGGGGCTGAAGGAAGATTGCACAGTTGGAAAAGACTCAGGGCTGACCCCACGAGTCTGTTCTTCAGTCCCCTCTCAGAAAAGCAATGCTGCAGGCAGGAAGATTAACCCTTCCTGGGAGAGGACAGATGTCTACGGTGCTACCGGGGTGTTAAGGAGAAAGCGATTATGCGTTTAATTCTGCTTATCCCTACCTGGATTGGCAAACACCCAATTCCAGGTGTTTGTGGACATCTTTGTTATCATCACATCTTTATTATTCCACCAGAGGCTTCCCCATTCCTGGTGAGTCCTCACCTGCCGGCATTTTATAGATGAGGAAGTGGAGATGCTGCAGGTCAGTCACTTTGCCAAGGTCACACAGCTACTCGAGGGGCAGGACCAGAATTCAAATCTAGTTCTTTGACTCTGGGAACCTGCTGGTTGCGATCTCTCCTAACGCCCCTGAGGGGAAGGCATTAGCTGAGGGGCTTCCAGTCAGGAAACAAATGAGCTCTTCCTTCCATCCTGTGACTGGGGGCTGCCTGGTCCTAAGTCACTGTTTCCTGTTAGAGTAGATGCTACTGTTTTGGACCACAGCCAAGTGCTCCTTCTGACCCACAGAGTCCCTAGAGGACAGAGTGGAACTGCCCACAGGGTCTCCAAGGCTGTAATGTTTATGGACACAGATTGCTTCATCTTTCTCCTTTGGAGCGGCTGGTGAGTTCAAACCACTGACCTTTCAGTTATCAGCTGAGCGCTTAACCACTGTGCCACCAGGGCTCCTCTGCCTGTGTGTTATTTCCTGAGGAGATGCAAGGGCTTTAGAAGACATCCGTGTGACTTGAATTGTGATGTGGTAGAGTGGAGACAAGAGCCTCTAAAGTGAGAACTCTCTCACCAAAGACTTGGCCCCCACCTTGGGCAATGCCACTTAACCTCTTACGTTCCAGTCTTCTCCCTGAGAATACCTGCTCCTCACACGTTGGTTTGTGAGCATGAGGGTTTGGTTAATTAATGCTCTTGCCCTTTGTCACTAGTATTTACATCATTGTCCTAACAGTTTTATGAAAAACCAAAACCAAACCACTGTTGAGTGGATTCCAACTTACAGAGACCCTACTCAATAGCAAATAACAACAACATAACAACAACATAGGACAAAGTAGAACTGGCCAGAGGGTTTCCAAAGCTGTAAATCCTCACGGAAGCAGACTGCCCCGTCTTTATCCTATGGAGTAACTGGTTGGTTTGAACCACCAACCTTTGGGTTAGTAGCCAAGTGCTTTAACCGCCACACAACCAGGGACCCCGTTATAGGAGGAGACCATTTTCCCCTCTTGTCTTGTACTCTGGCTTAATTCTGGGGTTCAGTGTTACTAGTATACTCATCCAAACACCTGCTTTATTTGGGTCAAGCATCCAGGTCCTCAAGTGACAGAGAAACAAGATGTAGCCCCTACCCTGTGGCATCCATGTGACCTACAGCCCAGGAGCGCGGCAGCTTTTGGACCCTTACTCATGCCTGGGAGGAGGTCGAGCCCTGCCAGCTCCATGATCATTAAGAAATATGGCCTTTGTTTCTGTTTCTGTTTTTTTCTTGGCAATTTTAACCATTTTTAGGGGCCTTTTTCAGACATGTTAATGGCATTCACCATGCTGTGCAAGCATGCCCACTGTTTCCAACACCTTTCATCCCCGCAAGGGGAACCTCTTTGTAAACTCTGTAGGAGACATTGCAGGGTCTCCCCTCCTCCCCTCTGCCCAGCCCACGGTGACCACCCTCTACTTTTGTCTCTATGTGCCGGCCTTCTCTGGGTTTTGCATATAAGTGGGATCCTACACTGTGTGGATGCCTGTGTCTGGCTTCTCCTCCTCAGGGTCATAGTTTCAAGGTTCATACATGTCGTGGACCACATCAGAACCTTGTTCGTTTTGTGGCCGAGTAATATTGCATTTCATGATGACATGCTGTCTATCCATTTGTCTGTTGATGGACACCTGGGTCGTTTCCATCCTTTGGCTGATGTCAGTAGTGTTGTGGTGAGCTTGGTGTGCAGGTCTCTGTTTCAGCTCCTGTTTTCAGTTCTTTTGAGTATATACTTAAGAGTGGAGTAACTGGGTCATATGGTGGTAATTCTGTTGGACTTTCGGGTGTATACCTCAAGTGGAGTGGCTGAGTCCTATGGTGGCAGTTCTGTTGAACTTTTGGAGGACCTGTGTGGCTTTAGTTCTAATAAGCAACACCAGCAATGTGATGCTCTCCATCAGCGTGGTGACATTTCCTGGGTCTGACTGGCCAATGCTGTCTTTCAGGAGGTGCAGTACTCTGACATAGACTACATGGATGGAAGCAAGGATTTCACTTATGACAATGGGACTTTCTCAGGTCTCCCCGAGTTTGTCAAAGAGTTACACAGCAATGGCCAGAAATATGTCATTATTATGGTATGTTTTATCACTTCTCTTGTTGCCTTGGTTTTCCGTACAGAGTACTAAAGAACTTTACAAAAGTACTATTATGTCGTATTTGTTTATTAGCATCCTGGCATCTCCAACAGCTCTGACTACAAGCCCTACGAGGAAGGAAGAGCAAAGAACATCTGGGTGCTTGGCAACAATGGCTCTGTTGTTGGGAAGGTATGTCTGAAGACCATCAGAGTAAATTACAGTCATGGTGGAAGGTTTGAACTTCTGCTGTGAGGATGGGTGGAGGCAGCTTACATGTTTTGTTTTCATGGCTTCAACGTTTTCTTTCGTTAGTGTTTTAAACCAGTTGTTGTAATAGTGAAGCCTGTTGCTGTTGAGTGAGTGGATTCTGACTCATGGTGGCTCTGTAGGATAGAATTGTCCCAGAATGTTTCCAAGGCTGTGATCTTAAGGAAACAGATTGCCTCATCTTTCTCTCTGGAAGTGGCTGGTGGGTTCGGCCCACCAACATTCCAGTTGGCAGCTAAATACTTAACCACATTGCCACCAGGGCTCCTGAGAAGTAATAATAAACCCACTGCCATTGAGTTGATCCTGACTCACAGCAACCCCCATTGGGTTTCCAAGGCACTAAGTCTTTACAGAAGTAGATTGCCTCATCTTCTGTCCACCGAGTGGCTGGTGGGTTTGAAGCACCAGCCTTCTGGTTAGCAGTCAAATGCCTTAGGCACTGTGCCACCAGAACTCCCTCAGATTTACTAAAATGAATACTTAATAATCTAAAAAGTTCCTATGACCGCAATTCTTATTGCTCCTGACAGTTTACTTAGCAAAACTGTCTTCTCAGGTTTATTGATGCATCCTTTCTAACTCTCTGCACTCAATTCCTCTCATGGACTTTGTTCACAACACTCAGTTGGATTTACTCTCTTTTTCATTGATCCTAAATGGTTCAGACCCACCAGCCACTCCTTGGAAGGAAGGTTGGGCAATCTACTTCTGTAGTGATACTGCCTCGGAAACTCAAGGAGGTGTCGCTATGAGTCGGGTCCGATTCGACGACACATAACAACAACAACAACAACTTTTCAAGAAACTGTTGAGAAGTTTCCTCCCTCCTCCAACCAAGTCTTTGTTTTTACTATTTGCTCAAAGTGAATTTCTCAAATTCAACAAAAGATCAACATTCATATATATGCAGTCAGATCACAGTCAAATCATTTTTATGTGGCTGTCTAACAAATTAGATTTCGATACCCGTGAGACATTTTTCTGCATTCATATTAGGGTGGTGTATAACTAAACCAGAAAAACCAAACTCACTGCCAT